CCTGTATGGGTGCGCCTCGTGGAGCCTAACAGCGGAGCACTACACGAAGCTCAATGGGACCCACCGCCACTTCCTTACACGGTGCATCGACTGGAGCAAGCGAAAACGCTCAGACCACGCCCTGTCCTTGCCCAGGCCCTCATCCAGGCAGGCTGCGAGGAAACCATCGAGGCCACCGTGCGCAAACGGAGACTGTGTTTCGCGGGCTTTGTTATGCGCATGGAGGACAGCTGCCTCCCCAAGCGCATGCTGATAGGAGCGATGGCGGGGGGCGTGGGATACCGGGGCGGACAGGAGAGCGACTGGGTGTCTCGTCTAGGAAAGGACCTCGTGGCCTTNACCGGGGCGGGCAGGAGAGCGACTGGGTGTCTCGTCTAGGAGAGGACCTCGTGGCCTTCGACATGGGAGACGAAAAGGAAGGGGGTAAATGGAAAGAGAGCGCCAAGGACCCGGAGGTGTGGTACAACAAGGTCGAGGACGGGGCGGCATGGTTCATGAGGAAATGGCACAGGCAGGAGGCGGAAGCGTCCACGAAGCGCCAGCGCGCGAGGTAAGCAGAAGCAGACAGTACGGCCATCTCAGGACCGACGAGAAAGAGAGCCGGGGAAGCGGCGGTGGGGGGGAAGAAACGGCGACCGGGCACTGCTGCTGTAGAGGCGAGTAGGGCGGCCGAGGCAGCACTTGTGGCGAGCTAGGTACGCGACTGATGTTGTTGCGCCCTGTTTCCCTCCGTGCTGTATGCTATACTCCTTTGTGTGTGTCCTTTGTATTTCCTTCGGCCTCTGTGCTGTGTTTCTTTTTTTATGACCTCCCTGCCTACTCTGCTGTGTTGGGTACCTTGGTCTCGCTTTGCTGTTGCCTTTGTTTTTGTACGTCTGGCTGTCTGCCCATCTGCCGCCTCTTTGCCTGTTTGCTCCGTTACTCCCATGCCCTGGTGCGTAGTGCCTGGTGCTGGTACATTACCCTTTGATTTTTCTCAGGGCAGGTGTGGGAAGCGTCCTCCTTATTGTGTTATTTTGATCGGTTTCCGAGGGCTCTTTTCTCGAACGGTCGGTGCGATACCTGTTCTTTTCTTTCTATCATTTTGTTTTCTTTTTCCGAGTGGTTTGTACGCTACTTTGGTTTTGTTTCCCGCGGCGTCGTACGTGCCGGGTTTTGAGACCACGGGGCCTCGTGCGGTTCCTGCCCTGGAGGTATTTTCACCGCGAGGAGGGTACAACAATTCATTCCCTCGCGAATTATTAAGTAGATCAAGTTTAATAACAACGAGCTTTGAAGCACGTCGCTTCCAACGGAGGCCAGGATTTAATTTGTGAGAAAAAACTCACTGTCGGGACTCGAACCCATGACCTGGCCCTTAGACTAGCAGGCTGCGAGGCTGCCCACTAGACCACCGGGGCGACCGGCTTGTGTGTGTGTGGTCTCCTCAGCAGTGGGCGTGCAGACGTAACGTGGCGACGAAGCGGTCGTTGTAGGAAGGTGTCAGCAGGTGAACGGCAGCAGGAGACAGGACATGGTTGCACTTGCATGGTTGCATGTGTGGCGCGACCGGAGTCCATCACCAACTGCTGTAGTAGAGACACAAGTACGTAGTTTGTTCAAACCTGCGGTCGGAATTGTTGCAGCCCGGGGGTCAGCGACAAGCAGCAGAGAGGAGCGCGCAGTGCGTTTCTACAGCTGTATAATCCGTCCTCCTCCAGACCTAACGGAGATGGTTACTTTAGCACAACGGCTGGACCCGAAATGCTGGCTAGCTCCGAGAACCAAGAGAGGTGGGGGGAGTATGACTGCGTGCTCTTCCGCAGCTGTTTTCGGCTGGTTCTTTGAAGGGTAGATTGCTGATTCGGCGAAATAGCAGTTTATCAAATATTCGATGGTTTTCACCTGGGTGCATGGGAATTGACGGAAATTTATATTTTTTGGCATCATTAGTTTTTGTGGCATATTACGCAAATATATAAAGAACAACCACAAACAACAACTATTCGAGCTCACATCGGAACTGGAGAAAGGTGCGGGTGGAAGATGATGAGCACATCATCCACCAGCTGGGCTAGATAACTCCCAAACGCGTCCTTCACTCTTGTCATGACAATAGGTCTTTGACCTGTCCTGCCTTGCCATCCGAGCTCCAGGGCGCTGTGCTGCGGCGGGGGGGGGTATGCCTCTGGCAACTCCCTGCTGCTGCTGTCTTGTGTAGCCGCTGGTGTTTCTCCAACATACAAGTCTCAAGAGGACGGCGGGCGGCTTTGCAGGCTTTTCTTTTTCTCCGCCCCCGCAGCAGAGGGCAGAAGGGAAGTGTGCGTTGGGGAGGCTCGGCACTCGACAGGCTGCAGAAGAACCGAAGAGGTTCTTTCACATCTCCCTGGTGTCTTCTACTTTGTGGCCATGCCGTCATCCACTACTAAATGTGCTGCCTCTGAGGGCGCTGCAACCGCCGCGGCGAGCGCAAGAAAGCAGAGATGCTGGCAATTTCACGTCTGCGGCGTCAGCATCGCCGACACGAAGGGTAAGTTTTTGCTAGAGAGAGAGAGAGAGAGAGGGGGGGAGAGATAGAGATAGAGAGAGAGCGGGGGGGAAGCAGGGAGATTGATGAGACGAGAGAGGGTTACTTGCTGCTTCAACCTTGGCCACGCCATTGTACATCTCTCCTGTCACCATTTTGGAACTGTCACGAGACGCAGCATCTTCGCTGGCGGCGCCAATAGACTATGTGCCTTTTCATAGACTGTAGAGAGGAGGTTGGCACTCACTGCTGCTGCTGCTGTCTCAGTTGTCGAAGCCAAACAGTCGAAGAACGGGCCGAACAGTAAATAAACAAATGTGGGCGCGGCTGGTGTTGTTCTACATAAAAGCATGCCGTCGATCGCCATTGTTCTACATAAGGGCTTAGTCGATTAATCGCGGTTTGGGACACGGCATACAGACTCCAACGCGTATTTTGCGCACTGCCGACTCACCATCTCACCGCTGATGCTAAAGTCCGAACTGCGTGAACATGATGAATCATATCCATCTGGTAGATCTTACTGCTGCTGACAGGCTCAAACTACAGGCTACTGCTGTTTGTTTTGTTTGTTTTTTTTGTTTTGTTTGTTTTTCTCCATCATCGGATTCTGTCGTCTGCCCCTCTGGCCCCTATCCTCCACTTCTATTAGCTAGACGACCCAACCGGGGTCACATAGGAGGGGGGGGGCTGGACCCCTTCCTGCGGTTCATGCCTGAGGTATTTTTTTTTTTCCCCATGATTGGACTCTGTCGTCTGCCCCTCTGGCCCCTATCCTCCTCCACTTCTACTAGCTAGACGACCCAACCGGGGTCACATAGGAGGGAGGGGCTGGACCCCCTCCTGCGGTTCCTGCCTGAGGTATTTTTATCGCTAGAAGGGTACAGCAATCCCTTCCCTCGCGACTTACGAAGTCCATTACGGTTTACTAACAACGAGCTTTGCAACGCGTCGCTTTCATCCTAGACCAGGATTTATTTAGTGAGAAAAAAACTCACTCTGCCGGGACTCGAACCCATGACCTGGCCCTGAGCAGGCTACGAGGTTACCGACTAGACCACCGGGGCGACCGGTGTTTTTTTTTTTTTCTCCCATCATTGGACTCTGTCGTCTGCCCCTCTGGCCTCTATCCTCCACTTCTACCAGCTAGACGACCCAAACGGGGTCACATAGGAGGGGGGGCTGGACCCCCTCCTGCGGTTCCTGCCTGAGGTATTTTTATCGCTAGAAGGGTACAGCAATCCCTTCCCTCGCGACTTAAGAAGTCGATCCAATTACTAACATCGAGCTTTTCAGCGCATTGCTTCCAACGGAAACCAGGATTTAATTTGCGAGAAAAAACTCACGCTGTCGGGACTCGAACCCATGACCTGGCCCTTAGCAGGCTGCGAGGCTACCCACCAGACCACCGGGGCGACCGTATGGTGTGTGTACCCTCGCCGTTCCTTCGGAATTTCTGGACACATTAAACAGCAGTGTAGAATAAACAAGGCCTCGGACGCGGGAGCCACGGGTCCCCCCGTCCTCAATAGAGCTACACGCTGCAGGTGTTGCTGTTGCGGGCGAGTAAGGGTGATGTGTCCATACCAAGTGTGTAAGGTATATGATGATGTCCGCAGCTAACCAATACTGGTATATTTTTGACACAACATCAGTAGAAACGATGTGTCTTGCATGTGGATAAATCCTACGGGTTCCCCGCAGTCGTCAGCACCATGTGTGACTTCTTCCTTGTCGCAGTCATGAGCACGATGGCGTGACTCTTTCCTAATGTTTTGTAGAAACGATGTGTCTTGCATGTGAGTAAATCCTACGGGTTTCCCGCTGTCGTCAGCACTATGGTGTGACTTATTCCTATTGTCTCGTAGAAACGAAGTGTCCTGCATGTGGATAAATCCTACGGTTGCCGCAGTCGTCAGCACCATGTTGTGACTTTATTTCTTTTTGATAATCGTCAATCACTCTTTAGAAAAAGCTGGAAGACAGACAAAACTAAAATTGTTGCACAGAATCAAAAGATCACACCCGACAATTGGATGCTTGTTTATTCTCCATATTGCACGAAGAGAAGCCAACAAAAAAAACGCATGAACTCCTTGACGAAGACCACCAATTAAAACACGTACACGCAACCGCCGGGGTATAAGTGTGCTACACTTCTGTGGATATGACAAACGACCCCTTGGCAGAAAATTGGCAGGTACTTTTGAACCATCTACACTTACTTGTTCACAATCGCGTACAATATTTAAAGCTGCTAGCTTGTTGAGCCATGAAGAACGACCCCTAGTTGGAAGGGGCAAAAATTGGCGGCTGATTTTGAAACCAATTCCACAATTCTTCGCAATAGTTTTGGAATGAAGTTTGCAATTGGAAGTTTGGTCTTGTTTTCGTCTGTTCGGTGTAGTCATCGTCTTCGTCGTGTTGTTCGGACGCCAGAATCAACTCATCGTAGCTCAAAGGTGCGCCGTATGCAGCTGAAGGGTCCATCCTGGTCACAACTGCGGTTGCGAGTGGGGGGGAAGTTGGATTAAGAATGTGTCATAGTACAGGCTTACAGGGTTGAATTGCAGATGAAGTTGGTTTGATTGTGGGAGTTGAGGCAAAGGTAATGTAGATTCTTTGAAGTGCACGCGAATCTCGATATTGTACAGATTTATTGCTGCAGTTATTTCCGGTTGTCCCATATATGTGCTAGGCATCGACATTTGTAGGACATAGTCGTCGTAAGAAGTGTAATAATAAAGGGGAATGGCCTAATCTGTAAAGTAGTTCAGTGTTTGTTCCATTGTGAATATGAAGGTTATTGTTTTGTCTGTTGTTCATAATGTATCGCACAACTTGAGTTCGAATGTGAGACTGGAGATCAGGATCACCAAGCACGCTTGGGGCAATGGCTCGAAAGCCGCAGTTGCCATCACCGATTTCGGATTGGATAACCCACTGGGGCGAAGGTGGAGGCGGAGGAGGTGTTGGAGTCGATGGTGTTGATGGAGGAGGCGGAGGCTGACGAGGCACTGAGGGAGTTTGATTGTGGTAAATAATTTACGGGTGTGTTCTGTAGGGTACTC